GGGGGGGTGGGGGGGGGGGGGGGGTGCAGCAAAAACGTCAGGAAAGAATGGAGATTTTTATATGATGTAAATTAGCGCGTTGAAATGGCGTTAACGCGCATCGCTTTATGCGTTTAACGGTATAATACATACTCCGAAACCGCATTCGTGACCGCGAATTTCAACGTGACAGTGATTAGCCAGAAGCTCTATTGTTCGATTCGACTCGTATAAAAAATTCCCTAGATTATTCTTTCGGCAGAATCTGTTTGCGAGTAAACGAGCGTCAGTTATGCCATGTTATTACTTATCGGAGATACCTTTCGTACTCTCGATGTACACGCATCTATATACATAGGCTGTTACGCGTTTCGCGATTAATTGGCATAGAACAACTTGACAAGTTCAACGAATTATTATTACGTATACGTAGATTGAACCGTGATCGAAAATCATTCCAGAGTTTGTTCCTCTTTGAAATGTGATTTACTTACTTTCGTTGCGACCGTTTGTCACGAAATACACACACAGCGTTATATAAATAAACACACGGAAAACGATTAAACAATTCGATTAAACTTTATGATTTAAACCCAGAATAATGGTAACATTTTATAGTGACAAAATTCGCAACGAGACGGGCATTTACCTCGGTACCCGAGCACATTTAAAAAACGAACGTATATAGAATCGAGAATAGTTCACGTTATCAACGACATTATCAAAAGTGAAGTTAAATCATTGTAGCGTGCTTATAGCCGATGGTAACGGTACTACAATTATTACGATCATTATCATCCTTACTATCGACGATTCTCCTCTAATCTAAGGCTAATTAGATTAGGACGAATATGGAAGGATCTTTTTTTTCTCCGATCACAGAGTACTCTTGTACTAATCATGATTTATATTTCTCTTCTCGCCCTTTTCCTTTCCCATTTCTCTACTTTCCTTTCTCTCGATCCTTCTTTTTTTTTGTTCTTTTCTTTCTCTCCCCCTTATTCCTTTTTCCTTCCCCTTTCTTTCTCCATTTCCTTCTGTTTCTTTTCCTTTTTCTTTTTCTTTTTCACTTTCTTTTTCTTTTCCTTCTCCTTTCTTTCGCTTTTCGTATAACCATACACAACGTACATGCGCGCGCACACAAATGTCGATACAGATATAGATGCGCGAAAAAAAATGAATATCTTACAGTTAGTAGAGGCATACAAGTCCCATACTTTTGGGCCCTCTGTTCGTTCTCTTATCTCACTTGACCGCGATTGCGTTATCGTAATTTTAATTAAAGACTAAACAGAAAATCTTTTATCCTAGTTAGTGTTTTACTCGATTAAACTTCTATGCAATTGTTGTTCTCTCGTTAATAAAAAGCCCGACAAAGAAGAATATTACGGTCTAGAACGTATACCCAAATTTAATTTCCTCCTCGAGATATCGATGCACGGAAAATTTCACATTCTCATTCGTTCACGTATTACGTTTCATCGAACATTCTTTTTATCCGTTTATTGCCAATTTGTACGTATACACGGAACAAGGTTTTCAACGCAATCACGATGCAAATGTCTTCGTATACAATGCCCTTGTATGAATGTTAATAACGTATGCATTTTCTATAAAGGTAATCTTCATGCACGCACGCAACACGCATTTTCACATAGCATTGTCATTGTACCATGAGCGAATACTTTTTGTAAATAAACAATATGCTAATGTTGGTACTTTGTCTCCTTGATCTAAGGATTCGCAAGCCAATTTCGTTTTGTTCATTTATAAAATTCATCGAATCACCGATTTCATTAATCGGGGGACTTCGTCGAACGATACATCCTAAAACAGTATGACCGATATACTTCAACCTCATAATTTCACTAACTATATCAAACTTATTTTCGTTTCTCAATCATAATTTCAATTCATGTAACCATCTTACGCATCGTTAAAGTCTGATAGAATCGTCTAAATTCTATAATTCCCCTCATTCGCTCGTATCATACAACGTATACGAATAAAGTCTGCATATTATATACATACACGTATGTATGTATGTGTGTATGTATGTACGTATATATGTTTTCAAACGTTTCGGCGACACGTTACCTATACAGTACAATTTTCGATGATTCAATTATTCATTCATTTTCCCTGTTTCGCTCTCTTTTCTTTTCTTTAAAAATATCAAGATCAGTAATAAATAACTACGAAGCGGCTAATACTATAAACGACGTTGTGGATTTCGCGTAAGTATATGTATATGTACAGAGATATATAACTTGAAAAATAGTCAATATGTAAGATCCTTTAAGATGAAAGTAAAAGATAAAGAAAGTGAAGAATAAAAATTTTGCCTTCATTTTTAGCTACTTTTATCACGTTATCGCGTTCATACATTATACACCCAAAATATCTGTGAATTTAAGTTGCTCGTATTCGTGAAACAAAAATGGAAAAATCGACTTGTTACATTTTGCCATGCGATTGGTTAGATCACAAACTTGACTGTCTATCATTGGCTAAAAAAAGTGGCGCTTCTTATTTATCGTCATCAACATTATAAATTGGATAATACATTCTATTTTTTCTATAATTTCATAAAACGCTGCATAAAACAAAGAAAGATCACAAAAGTGCACAAAAAGTAAGAGATTAGTGGGCTAACGACCTATCTTTCTGATTATCTGTTAGAAATTATCGTATGAAGATATAAATCATAGCAAACATGTTTCATAAGAGTTCACTTACTGACCTTGAGCTGCTCTCGTACTGTTCCGTATTTCGATCTATGGCAAAGACAAAATTACGAACCAGAGGCCCTAGTGACACACGTGAATAACGATTAAGAGCAATTGAAACGATTAAAACGATAAAAAATTGAAAGATTACCAGACGATTAGCGGCCTACAATGTTTTCGGTAAATATACATTTGAACGATAGAACAAGTTCGTGTTTTAATCTTAGAAAACATGTGAACATTCATAGATTGAAAGAAATGAAAAATTTATACTCTTAATTGTTCGTTGTTTTTAGTCAGTGGCAAGGAGGATTGTTGGGCGTTCGTTTTCAACGACGAAATGGAGTGCCGCACAGCAGGTAAAAATCATTGGTATTCAAATATCTATATTTTCCTACACATAACCTATACTCTGCTTTGACAAGATCATGTAGTTCTCTTTTTGCTACGTAAAAGTAACTTTAGTAAAAAAAAAAAGAAAAGAAATGAAAATAGCCCTTTGTTTCTTTCTATGTGATAGATTTTGTCTACTTTACCTTGTTCATTTGACAAATCATTTCATCTAATTATTACATGCTGAAGGACAACAAAGGTCATCCATTTTCGATCTCAATTATTCGATGATGACTTAACATTCAAACTTACGATAATTAGTGTTATACATTGTTTACAATGATTCGATTGTTATCGAAAAATGGCATTGTCAACGAATTTCTTTCTTTCTACTATTCACGCAACTCCGGCGTAGATGACCGTACGAGATGCTTTGAACTCGGCACTGGACGAAGAAATGGAAAGAGACGAAAAAGTATTTTTACTTGGTGAAGAAGTAGCATTATACGACGGAGCATATAAAGTTTCTAGAGGCCTCTGGAAAAAATATGGTGACAAGCGTGTCATCGATACTCCCATTACTGAAGCTGGATTTACTGGTATAGCTGTTGGAGCTGCTATGGTATGTTATTATGTTTCTCAATAATACTCCGTATTTTCTATAATATTTTTTTATATAATCACATTTTAGGCTGGTTTACGTCCTGTATGCGAATTTATGACATTTAATTTTTCTATGCAAGCAATCGATCAAATTATCAATTCTGCTGCCAAGACATTTTACATGTCTGCTGGCAGGGTAAATGTACCAGTTGTTTTTCGTGGACCCAATGGAGCAGCAGCAGGTGTAGCAGCGCAACATTCTCAGTGTTTTGGGGCCTGGTATAGCCACTGCCCTGGTTTAAAGGTAGTATCACCCTATAACAGCGAAGATGCAAAAGGATTATTAAAAGCTGCCATTCGAGATCCTGACCCGGTTGTTGTATTAGAAAATGAAATATTATATGGTGTTCAATATCCTATGTCAGACGAGGCTTTGTCAAAAAACTTTCTCTTACCAATTGGTAAGGCAAAAATTGAACGTGTTGGCAAACACGTTACGTTAGTAGCACATTCCAAAGCAGTTGAGCAAGCTCTTGAAGCAGCGAATGAACTTGCCGGCAAAGGAATAGAAGCAGAAGTAATAAATCTTAGGTCTTTGAGACCATTAGACATAGACACCATTGTACAGTCGGTAATGAAAACGAATTATATCTTAACCGTGGAACAAGGTTGGCCACATTGTGGTATCGGAGCGGAGATTAGTGCTAAAATTTCAGAGAGTATGTTATTTTAATTTAGTCAATGTATAAACAACTTCATTATATCATTTTCATTTACATGCCACTTTTGTTTTCAGGTGAAGCATTCTATCATCTTGACGCACCGGTAATTCGTATTACGGGCGTTGATACGCCTATGCCTTATGCGAAAACATTGGAAAGCGCATCTTTGCCGACAATGAACGATATAGTTTATGCAGTAAATAAAGTACTAGGTTTGGCAGAATAGATATTTATATAAATCTTTAGGTAAAATTTGAATTTCCCGTTTATCTCCCCCTCGAGTTTTACGCGGTTTTTGTATCCCTTCACATTACGGCCTCCTGTACATTTCTTATGAAGTAGAATATAAGTATAATATTTAACAGTGATAAGATAATTAATAGAATGTTATTTCACTGACAAAAAAGAAATTCAGTTTACAGTACTTGTACATTATATTTGTAAATGTACATATACTTAGAAATTAATGTGTTTGATCTTATTATGTGCAAGCATGTATACCTGTACATATGCGTGTGTGTACGTTCGAAATAATATATTTGTAAGAGATTCAGCAAATACCAAGGTAGCTTTTAAATTTTTATGACGTTCGAATAAATTAATTAACAATATAACGGTTGTCTATTAAGACGAATTAGCATCGTTACTTTTGAAATATCCGAGTACCCTTCTTCGCACATGAGAGAAAGATCATAAAAATACTGCCATTTATATATTTAAATGCTACTAAGAATTACATCTCTCACTTCAAAATATCTAAAAAAAATAAACAGGTAAAATTGTAAATTCTTAGTGTGTATGAATTGAACAAATAAACATGCTGCATTTGTTTATTAATTATTTATTATGAAAGCTCAATAAATTTAAGTATAGTTACAATTTCCAGGATTAATTTCATTTTTTACGTTTCACTTATCGGCATTCCCAATTGCATTCACTTTTTGTACACCAATTTCCTCATCCGTTAATAGTCATGTATGATACATACGCAATAAACAGCACGTAACAACAGTCATGTAACGTTCAAAAGCATCTCTTAATTCGTTGTTTCTGATAAATAAAATATTCAACTTAAATCTAATGAAATATACTTAATTTTTTCATTTTTATAATAGTACCTTTGTTTCCTACCTAAGTACATCCATATCCAGTGCACATTGCGTATAAACTGACAGGAAATTTCTGAGATCGGTATGCGTCCAATTTACTTGACGCCATGGTTCTATGCATCTTTCTACCAGTTCCAAAAAGAAAAATCGTAGATCTCTGGAGCGATGAAGATTACATCCTATTCCTAGGATAGCTCTTGTATATGAACGAAAATTTGCATCTATCTCTTGATACGAACGTTCTAAAAGCATAGGTTTAAGCTTGATGCATACCAAACTGTAAAGGAATACAGTGAAATCCATACACAGTGGATAATGTTGCATTGATTTGATAATTACAGTTGTCATATATTCAGCCAATGGAAACTCACTGTTTATGATGTTTATCATTTTCCAAAAGTACCCTACATTCTGCTAATTCTAATAAAAATTCTCTATCCAGATCGGTGTCAAAATATTCGGAACCAATACAACGGTATGTCCATGACAACATCATACTGTTGGCGCAATGGTATAGATCGGGAAATGTTAAAAATTGAAGCTTTCTTTTGTTCATCTCAAATCGAAGACATGCTATGAATACCACAGCAGCGTATCGCCTAAGACAAATTATACGTACATACATACCTCTATGCGTGCATAAATAGATACATATACATATATATGGCTAGTATAAAGTAATCATTTTTTTTATTTATTATTACTTGGCAAGGTCTTCAGAAAGTAAAAAATGCTGTTCGATGTTGGCAGCTAGAGAACCTGGCAAATCTTCAACGACTTTGAATACCCTTTTAACATTATCATACTGTCGACGACAACTCTTCAATGTGATACCTGTTTTTTCCGACACTTCGTCCATGTCCTTTCTACTCTTTGATGTTAGCTTCTTACCTAACAATTCTCGAATAACAACATCATCGAATTCATAATACCTGCGAATTATAATTAAGAAGGGATTTGTATCAAAGGGGAACGTAGACGTACATAAATACGTAAGATAACAAAAGAAAATACCTACATTTCGATAAGCATCTGACTAGTTTGTGGTTCGATTTGAAACGCGAGTTGTTCACTCGCTAATTTAGTAGGCGTGTGAAGTAATTTTTCTAAAAGGGCATAAGTCCGATAATGATCGAGAATATCAGAAGCTACTAATTCAATCGAGGCATTCGTTTGATGACATATTCCACGTTGGTTTAGGATATTTACCGCCTCGCTAGCTAAAGACAAGAAAGAACAGTTACGTTAATTACGTTAATTCATTTTGTACTTCATAATTTAAGTAAATGCTATTTTTTTTATCGAAGAATTATACATGTGTTTAACTTTACTTTGTAAACTTACAAGAATGACCATCAACCCATAGTTGATATATCTCGGGATCCACAAGAGTATAATTACTAATGAATACATCGACCTCTGATAACATCGCGAAAATATAATACCTTTCAATTTCTCACTTTGAAAATAGGCCCGTAAATGGGCTTAACCACAGGTTCGATTCCAAACATGGCATAAATTTCCAATTTTTATATTCGTATCTATAAACTATATTTCGTCTAACGTGTCATTTCAAAAATAAGGTATAGAATAAACCCACACATCTTTATAACAGCAAATGTATTTTAGTACTATATGATGCAAAGGATTTTATAACCATAGACAAAATACAATATAGACCCTTCACTCGATGTACATTCGACGATCCGAGAAATCAAGAAATCGTCTTGGTATTTCAATGTCAGTTCCAACGTTACCGATAATTCAGAGTAGGGTGATATTACATCAATAAAGGTTGGAATTAAATGCACGTCATTATGAAACTACAAATAAGATACCAGAGCAGTGAGAATATCTCATAATATCAGATAGAGTATAGAATTCTATATTTCTGTAATATTTGTTCATTCTTAAGATTTATAAAAACTATAATATTGAACAATCCATTTTCTGATATTATACCAAGAATAATAGTACAGGAAAGTGAAGAAGTAAAGGATTGTTCCAATGAAATTCCACGTTAATTGGAATATTTGCGAAATAAAAATTTTAGATTATTCGACGAAAGTGCCGCGTATGGGGGACAGGTAATTTATTTGCTAATTAAGCGAGGTTTCAGTAGAGGTTAACTTGCGTACACGCGCTTTCATATCACGTCGAAAAACGCTACTAGAAGTCACTAGATTCCACTAGAAATCTCTCTATCATACCGTTCGAATAATACCCTTACTAATTACCTGTAAAAATTTTTATTTCCATTATTGTTATTATTTTATTAATATTATTAAAAATAATAATAATAATAATACTATTATCATCATCAATATCATTATCGTTATTATTATTATTACTACTGTAACCATTATTAATTTTAGCATTCAGTCAATAACTTTATATTGGATTATTAGATTGTTTTGTCTATACATATGTACATACAAAACGAAAGTTTCAACGACAGAATTGTCCATAGTATGCTTTAGAAGTTTATTCAAATTAAAATTCTTCGAAGAAGAATCGTTGTTCGGTACAATCGATCGAAAGGATGAATCTTACCGTCACAGCACAGACATGTGTATTTATATTAGTTTCCATGAATTCTATAGGTTTTTCGGCAAAACTTCGTTTCGTTGCTCGATTACGTTCGATCGTTCGTCCAAAAGAAGCGCCACGTTTCTTATTTCGAATCGTTACCGTTTTGATACGTTTACTCGATCAAAAATTATCGAGATCTGAAATAGATAAAAATACTAATCAATATAACATCGAAGAGTCTTTTCGTTTATGGTTCTGTACCACCTGTGGATCGATAAATGTTCCCTTTGATTCAAATTTTATTTTTTACAAATCTCTTCTCGTAACGACAAACGACATCTTTCGATCGTAAATTTACCAGCTATTTAAAAAATGTATAGTCGAAACGATTTCATATGTCGATGTTGCTGTTGAACAAGCAATTAAGTTAAGTATTCGTATAACGAGAAAAAGCGACCTATAAATTCATTGAGCGTACTTATATTATACTTGTTTCTCTCCCCATCACCTTTTTCCCTACTATTCTATGCTTGTTTAAATTCCATTATATCCGCATCGATATCTTTATTATGAAAATGTCTAATGTCATTCGATAATTGCGTTTTTGCACTCAAACATGAAATCGTTCGATTCATTCGTATTACTTTTCGTATAAACTTGTCCTATTTAATGAAATATTAAAAATATAAAACGAAACGATGCGACAATTTGAAATGATTGGGTAACATCACAACGTCGAGCTCTTCGAATTTCTTGTCTACCTCAAATCGTCTGTGTTATTTCAGTCCACATAAGAAATAAGGCATCGAATCATCGAACGAACGAACGAACGAACGAACGAACGAACGAACGAACGAACGAACGAACGAACGAACGAACGAACGAACGAACGAACGAACGAACGAACGAACGAACGAACGAACGAACGAACGAACGAACGAACGAACGAACGAACGAACGAACGAACGAACGAACGAACGAACGAACGAACGAACGAACGAACGAACGAACGAACGAACGAACGAACGAACGAACGAACGAACGAACGAACGAACGAACGAACGAACGAACGAACGAACGAACGAACGAACGAACGAACGAACGAACGAACGAACGAACGAACGAACGAACGAACGAACGAACGAACGAACGAACGAACGAACGAACGAACGAACGAACGAACGAACGAACGAACGAACGAACGAACGAACGAACGAACGAACGAACGAACGAACGAACGAACGAACGAACGAACGAACGAACGAACGAACGAACGAACGAACGAACGAACGAACGAACGAACGAACGAACGAACGAACGAACGAACGAACGAACGAACGAACGAACGAACGAACGAACGAACGAACGAACGAACGAACGAACGAACGAACGAACGAACGAACGAACGAACGAACGAACGAACGAACGAACGAACGAACGAACGAACGAACGAACGAACGAACGAACGAACGAACGAACGAACGAACGAACGAACGAACGAACGAACGAACGAACGAACGAACGAACGAACGAACGAACGAACGAACGAACGAACGAACGAACGAACGAACGAACGAACGAACGAACGAACGAACGAACGAACGAACGAACGAACGAACGAACGAACGAACGAACGAACGAACGAACGAACGAACGAACGAACGAACGAACGAACGAACGAACGAACGAACGAACGAACGAACGAACGAACGAACGAACGAACGAACGAACGAACGAACGAACGAACGAACGAACGAACGAACGAACGAACGAACGAACGAACGAACGAACGAACGAACGAACGAACGAACGAACGAACGAACGAACGAACGAACGAACGAACGAACGAACGAACGAACGAACGAACGAACGAACGAACGAACGAACGAACGAACGAACGAACGAACGAACGAACGAACGAACGAACGAACGAACGAACGAACGAACGAACGAACGAACGAACGAACGAACGAACGAACGAACGAACGAACGAACGAACGAACGAACGAACGAACGAACGAACGAACGAACGAACGAACGAACGAACGAACGAACGAACGAACGAACGAACGAACGAACGAACGAACGAACGAACGAACGAACGAACGAACGAACGAACGAACGAACGAACGAACGAACGAACGAACGAACGAACGAACGAACGAACGAACGAACGAACGAACGAACGAACGAACGAACGAACGAACGAACGAACGAACGAACGAACGAACGAACGAACGAACGAACGAACGAACGAACGAACGAACGAACGAACGAACGAACGAACGAACGAACGAACGAACGAACGAACGAACGAACGAACGAACGAACGAACGAACGAACGAACGAACGAACGAACGAACGAACGAACGAACGAACGAACGAACGAACGAACGAACGAACGAACGAACGAACGAACGAACGAACGAACGAACGAACGAACGAACGAACGAACGAACGAACGAACGAACGAACGAACGAACGAACGAACGAACGAACGAACGAACGAACGAACGAACGAACGAACGAACGAACGAACGAACGAACGAACGAACGAACGAACGAACGAACGAACGAACGAACGAACGAACGAACGAACGAACGAACGAACGAACGAACGAACGAACGAACGAACGAACGAACGAACGAACGAACGAACGAACGAACGAACGAACGAACGAACGAACGAACGAACGAACGAACGAACGAACGAACGAACGAACGAACGAACGAACGAACGAACGAACGAACGAACGAACGAACGAACGAACGAACGAACGAACGAACGAACGAACGAACGAACGAACGAACGAACGAACGAACGAACGAACGAACGAACGAACGAACGAACGAACGAACGAACGAACGAACGAACGAACGAACGAACGAACGAACGAACGAACGAACGAACGAACGAACGAACGAACGAACGAACGAACGAACGAACGAACGAACGAACGAACGAACGAACGAACGAACGAACGAACGAACGAACGAACGAACGAACGAACGAACGAACGAACGAACGAACGAACGAACGAACGAACGAACGAACGAACGAACGAACGAACGAACGAACGAACGAACGAACGAACGAACGAACGAACGAACGAACGAACGAACGAACGAACGAACGAACGAACGAACGAACGAACGAACGAACGAACGAACGAACGAACGAACGAACGAACGAACGAACGAACGAACGAACGAACGAACGAACGAACGAACGAACGAACGAACGAACGAACGAACGAACGAACGAACGAACGAACGAACGAACGAACGAACGAACGAACGAACGAACGAACGAACGAACGAACGAACGAACGAACGAACGAACGAACGAACGAACGAACGAACGAACGAACGAACGAACGAACGAACGAACGAACGAACGAACGAACGAACGAACGAACGAACGAACGAACGAACGAACGAACGAACGAACGAACGAACGAACGAACGAACGAACGAACGAACGAACGAACGAACGAACGAACGAACGAACGAACGAACGAACGAACGAACGAACGAACGAACGAACGAACGAACGAACGAACGAACGAACGAACGAACGAACGAACGAACGAACGAACGAACGAACGAACGAACGAACGAACGAACGAACGAACAGTCATTTTCCAGTTATTTTTTTTACTTGTACTATAGCCTATAGCTGCTATAAATTTATACAATAGTTCTAGAAATGCTTTTCTAGGGCATATAGTTGTAAATAACACCGTTCAAGAGGTCAAAAATTAAATAATAAAAAGAGTTGCGAATATTGAAAAATGGGTTGTATATATGTTATAAGAAAGATCATGAAATTAAATGGCTGTGCAATAACGTTGTGTACAGCAAATTTAAAAGGAAATTTTAAAAATGGTCATTTGACAGTGTGTGGTAGGTTTAATGATAATGACATATATGTATAGCATTTATAGCAAATTTATTATTCGCATAAAGCATTACTGAGTGAATAAGTCAGTAAAGCATTTGGAAATACTATTTCATTATTTAATATTGTGCAATCAAATTTTAAAAATGGTCATTTCACAACATGTG